ACCTTGTTTGATATTGTTGGTTTCATTTTAGAGGTTGGTATAGTTAGGAAGATTTTGAGTTAGTAGAAGTAATTTTGCTTTTTTAGTATCTAAATGAGTTTCAGAAAGACCAAAAATATTTACTTGATTCTTGGTGATAAAGTTGTAGAGCAATGTTTGTTTAAAGTAAAATAGTTCATTTGTATTAAAAAAGCAGATTATAATTTGTTTTTTTAATGTTAAGGTAACTACTTGGGGTCTGATATATTTTATTAACTTAGTTGCAAATGCTAGATTAGCCACAAGACCACTCCTGACTTTGTTATATTAACAAGACAACATTCTAGCTATATCTACCCTTTTGAGTATCTATGTCAATTTTTCAGTAACTTACATAGGCTGAGACCAAATACTTGCAGTATTTTACTTCTACTACCATTACTTACTCCTTGCCCTTATAAAGTTTACCTAATCCTAGCACCCACTTTACAGACTATGACTAACTTTCTTAACACACCAATAGTATTTCTAAACTTCCAATTCAAATAGCCTAAAAGGAACTTGTGTCTCCTAGTATTTTGATGAATCCTTTTTCCTATATATACATGGTCTGGTTGGTGTGGTGTCTTGACGAACACTGGTTCTTGATTAGTTTTGCTATTGGGTCCGATTTCAATAATCCTTCTTTACATAGTATCATCAAAGATCTGTGTTACTTCTCTATTCAGGACTTGCCAAGTGGGCTTTCATGTGTCTAATCTCCTGGATTTATCTGAATACATTACTTGGGTTTCATATAACTCTTGCATTATACTATTGTTCTGCATTCTCTTCTGACCCATCAGATTACACATAGTCTGCTATAACGCATTCTATAAAATTCGAATTTTATTACCAGTAGGATTCAAACTCTTGTTTTGCCACTTGGGTGTGACAACTTACCAACTTCACTAAGTCACCACACTGCAAATTTAATTTGTACAAGTATAAAGGTAGATTAGTTGGAAAAGTTTTGAGTTATGTTAGGTATATTTAAAAGTTGGTTTATATGATAGTTTTCAGATAGAGTAAATGGTGGAGTAAGAGAATGTTCTTTTTTATTATTTAGAAAAAGATTGTTTTCAATATTTAGTAAGCATATTGAAGAAGTTGTTGGATAATTATATTTAAAATATGTGTTTAGATATTGTTTAATAGTATTACAATTAAGTTAAATATGATTAGAAAGAATAATAAGTCTTGGAGAAGGTAGATATATGCTTCTTGGAGATTTTTATATATAGAAAATATGATGTTAAGATTTTGGTTTTGGTTCTAATATAAGTGTAAATATAGTATGAAAAAAGCAATACTAATAGGTATTGTTATAAGAGGTAGTTTGTAGTATTTTAAGAATCTATTATAGCAGATAAACAGATTATAGAATTCTAATGATGTTGAAAATAAACCTGTATAGTTGGTATCTTTTACAAGGTTGCTCACCATATACCTGGTTTTCATAGTATCCAAAGAACTTGTAGCCTGCTTTGTATGCTGGGTCTAACCATTATTAAAACAAGCCTCCAAGTAAATAGTCTTTATTACCTGCCTATTTATATCATTTTCTTTACTAAATACAATAAATGTTTTTTTTAGTAAAGTGGTAGCAAATTTATGTTGAGTTTTAATTATTTCAAAAAATCTTGTTTTGTAATCTTTTTTAGTTAAAACAAATGAGATGTTAAAACCAGATATTTATTTTATATATTAAAAATTGGCATTAGTTAAGACAATCTTAAAAGTTTATTTTTATATTTAAATAAAGCTTTAAATAGCTATTTATATTTAATTTTTATAGTTTATTTAGTTGCAACTTTATAGGTATCAAAATATTCATAAAAAAAAATACTCAAAGCATTCAAAAAAGATTTAAATTACAAAACAATATATCTGATATAAAAGTTGTTTTAAATAATACTGTGTATATAGATGATATTGCTTAATAGTATAAATCAAATATTATAATATATAATTAGTAAGAGAGATATTAATTGAGTAGAATAAAATTATTATTTAAAATATTTAGTAAGAGGCAAAGCTTTGTTAATACTATAGCTTTATTCATAATAAGATATATTTGCTTGTATATAAGTATTTAATTAATTTGTTTAGTTGATATATATGTGCTATAAAATCTAGAACCTTCTGATTAACATCCTTATACTATAAAATAGAAATATAAATACTCTTGCAACAGTTCTTTAATATACTATAAATCTATATTTAATTTTAATAAGAAATATAACTTAAAAATATGTTATTTCAAAGCTTATTCTATTCTCTTCTCAAATTTAATTACAATTTTTTTATAATATTTTTTGTTTAAAAATTATTTAGATATCTTTACTGCTTATCTTAGTTTCTATACTTAAAATTAATTAATATACCAACTCTTACTAGTAAAAATCCAGATCACTTTAATCTTAATTATTTTTATAACAAGTATAGTAACAGACATAGTACTATAATCTGTAAAACTTAACCTATACAACTTAAAGTCATGCATTTTGTCTTCAACCTGTCAGAATATAACCCTTCTAAAACACTACACTACTTTTTTATTTTGTTCAACTAGCAATCATTCATTGCTATTGTTAAAAATAATATACTTTATTTATTTCTAGCCATTTGAATATTTCTCCTAGACAAGCAACACCTTCAGATACTATAAATATAGACCTTACACTCACATAAGTTAAGAAACTTAAAGATAATATTCTTCAATCCCCAGGTTCATCTTCTAAACTAATATCATCAATTCTACTCTTTCTTCTCAACTATTTACAACTTCTAACTGTCTTTACTTCTTCTCATATTAATACATCTTAAATTCAAGCTCATTTACACCATGCCATACTTGTATTATCTGTAAACAGAAAAGCATTCCTTGTATTTTTTTAACAACAACAAACATGCCTTACTCAATAGGTTTATACTCAATATTCAAGATTACTCTTCACATTCTATCTGTATTCACAAGCTTAAGCTTAAACTACTACTACAAATAGTATCTCTAAGCCAAAAATTTAAGCAATACTTTATCTTATTCTTATTAAAAATATAAACAAGAAAGAAAAAAAAACTCTTTCTTAAACTTAAACTTATTTCTAAATTATCTAAACATGAATATAAGCAACAAATGACTGAACAGCAACAAGAATAACAACTCAAAACTAAAACCAACCAGCATTATATAATCTGCTTGCCAACTTTTCTATTACTAAAGAAATAGAAAACAGAACTTAATTACAAACTAACCTTACTAGAAAAATCTTTAATCATCTTAAATTACATCTATATAATTTTTATTTAAAAAAGAAAATCAAAGCAGCTACATCTAATCAAAAACCTCTCAAGGCTAGCTTCTGCCAAATTATTTATAAAATGGTTATACAAGCTTTAATTTCTTGTTAATTTATTTAACAAAATAATTCTAACACTGACAAGCTATTATAATTTTATTTAATATTCTTAAAACAACTTTTAAATAAGTTATCCATATATTTACAACTGTCTTTTTTACTAAACTTAATTATCTTAAATTTTTGCTTTATCTACTACTATTTCACTATACCAAAATCAAAATCAGCTTTAATTTGCATCAACTTGCTCAGCTTCATCTATATCTTTCAAATAATTATTAAACAATTGACTACACTAAATTTAAAGAGGATATTAAGCTAGATCTAAGAGATTAAAAATCTTATCCACTGTTTCAGACTATGATAAAGATGAAAAATATTTTTTATAAAATCTGATAGCAAGTTTAATATCTACTTGAACTTTAATATTTCAGAAACCCTTTTCTTATAAAATATTAATGTTTCTTCTCTTAATTTTTACATTATAATTTACAATTTGCTAACTCTTTTGATAAACTAAGGTCTACAACTCTCTCAAATACTAATCTTATTAACAGTTTGTCTTTTACCTTAAAGAACTTGTTTTTTCTACTCTAGAATTTAATAAAGCTAACAAGTCATTAAAACATTATAAAGAGGCTATGAAGCTTAGCAATTATTATATATTGATTTGCTCAGATATTATCTGCTCTTATATAAAAAAAATTGAAGTTAAAAACAAAGAAAAAGAAACAGAAAACCAAACAATACAACAATTTACATTTTGATACAATTATATTAAATTGCTTAAAGCTACTCTTAAGCACTCATATACTAGTTACCCAAAACAACAATATAAATATTTGCCACATCCTGAAATTAATCTATTACTATTTATCACTGATAAGAAACCTTTAGCAAAGAGATTCCAACTAAACTATTAGATGAACTTGCTTTCTAAACAGAGAAATATATCTGTAAAACCTATTCTATACCAACAATTACCAAACATTGTAACTACTACTTCTATAAACTCTTAACTGCATATTAATAAACAGCTACACAAAACCATCTTATTAACAATATCAATAAACAAAAAGCAATAAAAAATCTTACTATTAAACTTATTAGTACAGATTTTCTTGCTAAAGTCATTATATATTTTGACACCAAAAATGAATCTCTTAACTATTCTCAACTTGTTAAATATTATAAAAAATCTGTCTATCCAAAAGCAGATAAAATTATTCAAACAAAATTTAATATAGTCTATACTTTATCAACCTTTTGTTATGAATGGATTTAGTATTAAGGAGCAGAGATGTTTATTAGTATTGAATAGACTAGCTATTACAAGTAAGGTTTGTATTTTCTTTTTATCTCTTTTTTTGACTATTACTATACAATTACTAATTACATCTTTTATTATTGATGACTGCGTAATTCATACATTTGAGCAATTTAACTACTATCATATGATATTTACATTGATTAGAAATTAATAATTATTACTACATTCTTTATGCATTGGAGCAGAGATACTTTAGGCTTGAGTCACTAGCTTGAGTCACAGGCTTGAGTCACAGGATTGAGTCAGGCTTGATTTATGGGCTTGAGTCAGGCTTGAGTTATGGGCTCAGATTACAGGATTGGATCAGCTTGAGTCATGTGCTTGGTTATTACACCTTTATAAAAGTGTCCCTATTTTTTAAAGAAACTTCTTTTAGTAACTTTGTCTTCTACTAAATATATAGATGCAGCCATCTTTTTATTAAAAAAACAACTAATGTATTTGATAAGGAAGATGATGTAAGTTGGCAGGTTGTAAAGCCTGTTTATCTGAAAGTCTAGGATAACAACAGTTAGACTAAATATACAAAGCAGATACAGATTATCAGAAAACTGTGTAAGCCAAGTATATGGTGATCGATCTAGTAGAAGACAACTACAACTTGGCATATCATTACCAACATCTTTAGACCCCTATAATAAGCCAACTCTTAATACTAACAATTTTAACATTTTCTATAATAACTTATCTCATATTATTATATATAATCCTGATGCATATTATAATAAGATTCTATTATCTCTCAACTTTTCTATACTTTCTTACCCTCAAATTAATAACTCTTTTATTAGACACTTAGAATTATTTTACTATAATTTTAATAATATATACAATGGTGCTTTTTATATAATAATTAAAGAAGACTATAGTAAAGTATACACCTATCTTTCTTATAAATACAGATACTTATATTGTAGTTACTACAAAATACCAGTTGAAAGCTACAATTTTTTTTTTTATCACTATTAACCTAATCTTTAATATTCACTCTCTGAAATCTCAATTCTTTTCTTATATAACATGATAAATATATTTACAATTTATACTTTTACTCACTATAAGACTTCTACTTAGGTCTTAGTCTACTATTAATCCATCTTCAAGATCTTTTTTCTACCCATTACATATATGCTTTAATTGATTTTTAAAATATCATCATCTGCTAATATTATCAAAATTACAAACTATTATTTCTTTTATTATCTCTTTAAATATAATTTAAAAAATCCACATATTCATACTCTTACTATCTCCATTAAAAAGACTATTTTGAGGCATATATATCTGACCACTTTGTCTCTCTTAAAGAAGTTTTAAAACACTATTTTAACATTATTCTTAAATCTAGTAACTATACTACACCCAATCTTCAACCTTAATACAAAATACTCAACATATTGCCAAATCTCTTTTTATTAACTCTACTATCAACACCTGAATCTTTTACAATAGAATTATATACTGCTACAAAATTAACTATCTCAAATTACCTCTACTTGATCCATATACTAATTCATGCAATCATCTGAAATACCCTATATTCATGAATCTGAATATACTCAATCCCTATTAAAATAGTTTCACTTAACACAAATAGATTTTTACAATCTACAAAAAAATTGCTTATGGAAAAAATTCTAGAACAGAACATTTATGGTATCTTTAAACTTTCAAAAACATATTTATCAACTAAAGAAGAAAAATTTCTAAACAATAAAACCAAAACAAATATTAGTTTTTAGAACTCATACATCAACCTACACCAAGCTGGTGTTGACTTCTTTATATATAACAAAATCTCTAAATAAATAATATGTACACATAATTACAATGGTCATATTATTAGTTTTAACCTTCACTTTAAAAATACTCCTATTTACTACTTCAAATTTATATTCTTACTTCTGAGAAAAACAACTTTGTAAAGAAATTCAAGAACAAATTATAATACTTTGTCAAAACTCTAGATATAAAATCATAATCATGAGTGAAGTCAGTGTTAATCAATCAAATTATATAATTTTCAAATTAGCTATTTTATTTTTTTCTTAATATGAAAACCATTAATAGCTAAGCTAATTATTACAAAAGGCAAGCTTACAAGTCTAAATCTTGTATACTAAACTGAATCTAAATAGTTGCAAGATGGTATGGCACAAAATTAAGAATGGAAAACCTAACAAAAGAAAACAGTTAATTATTAACTTGACTGCTAGATAAAAATTTAAGAATTTGCATCTTACTGATTACTTTGCCCTGATTTTTATTATTGTTATGTGCAACATAATTATTTAAATGTACAGTAGCCAACAAAAGTAACACCTGATAATCAATTTCATAGTAAAACATATAAAAAAGTAAAATTTATACAAATGCAAAAGTCAATATTCTTTTTATTTAAAATTTTTTTTTTAATATGATTAGTAAATTCAATATTAAAAATTTCATATGTAATACATATAAAATTTGTAAATTTGACTTTAAAATTAAATATAAAATTTTAAAAATGTTTTTAAAAAAACTTAACTATAATTATTAATAGTAGTGCTATTATATTTTACAGGCAATGTAAAATAAAAAATTATTATAAAAAAATATAAGTTTTAATATAACATAAAACTTACAATTTAATTTTACAAAATTTACATAGTAAAAACATAGTAAAAATCTAAAATTTTAAAATTGTTAAAAATCCAAAGTTTTAATAATAAATATTTTGTAATTTTATACGATTAGAAAATTTGATATTTATATTTTATGGTATATAATTATTACTGGGCAAGATAAACCCGATTTTTTTTTTGGAAACAAAATTTCCTAAAAATGATTTTATATATAATTTACTATGAAATTGATCATCGGGCGTTACTTTTGTTGGCTATTGTAAAATACTAATAAATAACGATTTATGTCCTTTTTTTTTTATCGAAATTAATGTCACTCCCATGTACAGCTACGAGTGACAAAAAATTTTATGTCGTATAATTGTTGATCTCCAAGTCACGCCGAGTTAATTTTTCGTTTTGCATTACCCGCCGACTAAATTTTTCAAAAATTCAATTTATTCTTTACAAGAATTTACTTGATCATAAACATAATAATATTATTTGATTCAAAAAATACCTATTTAATCAAAATATATAAACATACAAAAATTATTCAAGTCTAATTCAGAACATTTCAGGATGGTTCCTTTATGAAACCTGATTAGTTGAATCTACAACATCCATCTCAGTGTCATTAACACAGTTAAAATAACGCTTCCATATTGTTAATTGTTTTAAACAAAAAAAATTCTATTGTAATTTTTTATGCCATTAACACTAAAATCACAACGTTCACATTAAAATCTGTTGATGCAATTTTGGTACAGTCGCGTTTACGTAAAGATTACACTAGTTCATCAATAATAAATACAGTACGTAAACCCCGATCACTATGTCAATATCAAGAGTACGAGATGATTAATTAATAATACCTTGGCCGTATCTGAATAAGTGGAAACGAAATTCCCAACGGATCAGGATATTATTATTACTAATATTGCAGTGGTCTAAGAAAAATCCAGAAAAATAATATGCAACAAATTTTTTCCGCATTTAAGAATGTTCAATTAGATTATCGAAATACGTATTATCATAAGATGGTAGTGATGCGGGCCGATAAAAAATTTGTGGGCCGAGGGCTGACAAAAATGGACCTCAACCGGGCCGAGCGTACCGACTTTAAACACAAAATAATTTTTTGATCAATAAATTCTAAAACGGTTTGTAACATTGAATTATCAATCTTCTTTCTAGATCGTATAAATTATATACAAAACTTTAATAAAGAAATCTATTAAACATAATTTTTACTTTCAAAATTATTAATAAAATTATAATCTTAGGGTAGATCGCGGGTATTAGTTTGCAAATATATGCAGCGTGCCAATCAAAACAATTATCATAAAACAAATCTCTACTAATGGCTAGTGTAAGGATATGCTTGGATTTAAAAGGGTATAGTTTATTCCAAAATTTTACAAGAAAATTTTTTTATTAGAAGCTGAAAGGTGGTTTCATAATCGAAATTTGGGAGATCGATGTTTTAAAAAAAACGATTATTTTAAGTTACACGTGTTCGTTCAATTTGATTGGCTTTCTATATTGCTGTGTACATACACCTCGTGTACAAATAAAAATGCCCTTTATTTATATAACCTATACCCTAACCTAAAATCCTAAAAAATTCCAAACTCTGTTCCTACTTACAACGTATATGTCGTGACTGAAGTTAACACCCGATTGATGTTGCGATTTCAGTTGATTGAAGTTTCACTTGAATGAAATCAGCTCTGAAATTAGATCACCTTGCACACATTAGTTAGCAATTTAGGCAGGTATAACTATAATTGGATGCCAACTTCACGACACATTCATAAGTTGGTTGGTTATTATAAATAATAATTATAATATAATTTAGCAAATTACTAGATAATTTGGTTTGTAATTGGATTAAGCCTGATTCCTTATAATTAACGTCCTGTTAAAATAACCGATATTAATTTTTTTTGAACGTGATTTCACCAGGCTAACAAATCAATAATTAATAATACGAATTAAGAACAATGAGCTATATATAATAGTCACTTCTAACTAGAAAATTTAGTGTTAGCATTAGACAAATTTAATGTGGATTCTATGTATAAATAATTTTTTAAAGTTACATGCGATTTGGTCTACGATAAATATGTATGTCTTTTCTAGTTTCATATTGATGACGATCTCTGACATAAAGATAAATCATTCTATTAGTATTCCCATTTTTATAAATTAAAATTTTGTATTATTTCGGGAAGCAATGCTAATTGTCAGAATTTAAAATGAATAACGGATTAGTACAAGTCATTCTTGTACTGGTAAGTTACCGATAGGTTTAAACTCAACATTGTTTTATAATGCCTTATGATTTAAATGATTCAAAAATTAATTAAAAAACTTGAAATCATGGTTATTGTACTTGAACAGGTAAAATGTCTTTTCGGAAAGCCTTAAAAATAAAAGGCTTTGGCTTCATGAAAATTCAGCTCATACCAGGAACGTAAAAAACTTCAATTCGAGTTTACAAATTTTGGTTTTGAATATACTAATGGTAATCTGATTATTCTCATGACATAATGATCTACATTCTTGATTAAACTTTTTCTGTTAAAATATTCTGAATTTTTATTGGTTGGTTATAACATAAGGCTGATGAATTGTTACACCGACCGCAGATCATCACGGGTACCCTCAATTCTCGATTTCTATTGGTTGTAGCTGACAAACGTTGCATCAAATTGGATCAAACTTCGGACGATTACATATTAATATCTTGAGCTAGCTACAACTAGTTTATTACGAAAGCATGATAGAAAGTGTAGCTGACGTACTGTACAGTATCGGCTACACAGTTAATCATTTCTAAAAATTCAGATCGTCCAATTGTTTAGAAATTTATTACTATAATATATACCAGAGCGTGTGGTTAAATTAGAGGTTTACGTTCGTACACAAACCCTTAACTCTATCATTATGTCATAACAAGGTAATGATTCTTAAGATTTTCATGAGATGATGATCTACATCCTCTATGTCCTTGTTATGACATAGTGATCAACATCCTTACCGACATTCGATTAGCTATGACTAACTTATTTGCGTAAGGGCTCAGAAACACTTTATATTGTCCGGATAATTTATTGGTTTATTTGGATAATCATCAATTTATTTACATCATTATACGTATAATATTGGTACATTTGTATCCTCCTTTTCTTTTTCTGAGATCGTCTAAAGCTTTTGTAGTATTTTATACTAGCTCTCAAACCCGGGCGATGCTCCGGGGTCCATTCTCCCTTTTTTTAGTTTTAAAGTTTTAAATTTTTTATTAAATTCAAGTGAATTCATTTAGACCCGGGTTAGATTCACTTGAAACTGAGTTGGGTTCATTTGAACTCAGGTTTGGTTCAAGTAAACCCCGGATTGGGTCGCTTGAACACGACTTGGGTTCAAACGAAACCGGATTGGGTTCGCTTGAACCCGACTTGGGTTCAAATGAACCCGGATTGGGTTCGCTTGAACCCAACTTGGGTTCAAATGAACCCGGATTGGGTTCACTTGAACCCGACTTTGGTTCAAATGAACCGGATTGGGTTCACTTGAACCCGACTTGGGTTCAATTGAACCTGGATTGGGTTTGCTTGAACTCGAATTGGGTTCATTTGAACCCAGATTGGGTTTGCTTGAACCCGACTTTGAATCCTGCTTTTTAGATCTTTATTTTTTTTTATTTTTTTTTAATTTTTTAATTTTTTTAAATTTTTATTTTTTTTAATTTTTTTTATTTATTTTTTTATTTATTTTTTTTAATTATTTATTGTATAGTATACATTGTTATTCACATAACGTGATCACGTGATTATATTGCACATCATGTGATTACGTGATTGTATTGCATATCACATGATCATGTGATTGTATTGTACATTACATTTATTATCGTTAATATAATGTGGATATATACATATATATTTAATTAATTAATACATTATTAAATTAAATAAATAATATACCCTGCTTCACAGGGTAAATTATGTAAATGGAAACCCACTTCGCAGGCTTCCATGTAGCATTTGAGATGATATTATGTAAACAGAAACCTGCGTTGCAGGTTCCCATGTAGCATTCATAAAATGTTATGCTCAAATTTTAACAGAGATCCCTTAAAGTCCCCTGCTTATGCGGGGAACTTCAAGGAATCTCTGTTAAAATTTAGCGTGACATTTTTTTGCATGATGCATGACCAAGAATCTTCCTTTAGTATCGGGGAGATGATGGTTCTAATTCTAAAACACAATAAAATATTCAAGAAAAAGAAGAAGAGGCAATAGTTCAACTTAATATATCAAAAATAAATACTTAAAGAAGAAAGAAGAGGTGATGGTTTTACTTTAAATATATAATAAAAACATAATAAAAACTTTATTAAATACAATAAAAAGAAGGTAGGTGATAATTACACTTTTAAGAAAATAAACTATAAATAACAAGGAATTAAAAGTAGGTAGGAAACAGTCTGCTCTGCCTTGGAAAAAAAGGCATAATTTTTATATCTTTTGGATTATTAGTTAACAACCCAGTTAATGACCTAGTTAACGATCCAGTTAATAATTCAGTTAATGATTTAGTTAATGACTCAGTTAATGATCTAGTTAATGTATCAAATAACAATCTAAATAACAACTCAAATAATGTAACAACTCAAATAATATACTAAATAACATCATAGTTAATATACTAGTTAATGTCTCAATTAATATACCTGTTAATATATTAGTTAATATACCTGTGAATATACTAGTTAACATATCTATTAATATATCAGATAATGTTTTTAATATTGTACTAAAATTAATACTATTTGTTGACAATTTGACTTTTAAACTAAAACTAAAAATATATATATAATAAATATAAACTATATTAATAAAATATATTAATAAAATCTTTTAAAATATACTAATAAAATATACTAATATAACATTATTCTCTCCTTGAAAAATTTTGCTTCACAATATTAAAAATTTAAAAATTATAAAAGAATTATTATAGTACAGATATTGCAATCATAATCTGTTAGCAGAGTTTACAAGTCCATTAGTGATTATTGAATCTACAACTGCTGGCAACAGTTAAAGATCATTATCACTCTGCTATAATTGTAATATATAAAAAATTTTTAATTGTTTTATTTTTGATTATTACAATTATTATATTTGATAATAATTGTCAGAGATATAAATTTGTGTAGTTTAGAGTATAAAAGTAGAATTTTAAAATCTTTATTGTTAAAATTTTAAAGAGTAAAAGTAGTAACAATAATAAAGATAATATAATAATACGAAATAATAATAATTATAATAATAATATTAATAAAATAGAAAATGTCTCAGAATTATCGAATTTTTAGATAACAATAAAGAAACAGTAGCCAAAATGCCTTGTATGAAACAATTACTTTGCTTCAAAACAAAATCAATGATAATAATAATATAATAATAATAGTAATAATAATAATTATTATTTAGATTAGCCAGAGAAATTAAAATATTACAAACACAAGTGATAGTATTAGAAAGAGAAATAGTAATATTAAGAAAAAACATTAGTTGTTTAGAAGAAAGAGTAGAAGAATTAGAAGAAGCTATAGAGAATAGGGAATTGTATATTAAATTGGTTAAGGCAGAAAACTAGGAAAGAAACATTCACTATATGAATTTAATTACAGAATGAAGTGTTTTAAAAGCTGAAGTAGAGAATTTGCAGGATTTAATTGATAGTATCACCATCTTAAATAAATAAAAAATATATTTTTTAACTTTAAAATAAACTAATTCATTATATTACTATTGGACTAGTTAGTTGAATTGGTCTGGTGTTAGTTCTTTTAAAACTGTTGTATTAACTTTTATTGTCATATAGAGCTTTTCTAATCCATGTTTGGAGTTAAAAGATAGATTCTGGTTGCTTGTTTCTATAGTCTTTAGGGTTCCTCAAAATCAAATCAAATCAAATATTAAACTTATTTGAATTTGATTTGATTTGAAAATCTGGATTTGAATTTGATTTGATTTAAAAAAACTGGATTTGAATTTGATTTGATTA